GCCCTGTGCCCCAGTCCTACCGGCTGGTCTCCTCGCCGCGCTCCCCGCACGGCGCCTTTCAAGGTTTGGATTCGCGCCTCCTGCCGCCCCTCCCAGTCCGCGCCGCGCTTCCCCGGCGATCCCGGAAGGGTCCACCACCTCCCGCTCTCCATCACTTCCTTCTTCTTTCTGGCTCACAGTCTCACGCACTTTTTGACCACGCCTTGGGATCGTCCCTCCTTTCACTCTCGGGAACCCCAGGGGCATCTGTTTTCCTCTCTTGATCCTCCTTCAGCCTCCCCGCTCCTTTGCCCCTCCTTCCTCCCCAGATCAAGATAGTTTGAATTCTGTTCCACGCACAGGCAGCCCCACGGAAAAGAATCAGAAATTCACAGCACACACGCGGATGGCTTACCTGCAGGCAGACGGACACGCACGCACGCGCGCGCGTGCACACACACGCACACGCACACACTATTCCTTGTGCTCTACCTTGACCACGTGGGTAAACACAGAGCACATTTTTTCCCCATTTGTCCGCCAGCTCAAACCTCTCTCCAGATCTCAAGCTCCCAGTGCTGCCAGCAAATCCCAACACAGAATCAGACAACCAAGAACCAGAGGTCGACAGTGCAGACCAAAAATGTCGCCTGCCATTTCAGTAAACAAAGACTGTTGCCTGCCAATCCGGGACCTGCCGCTGATCAGCCTCCGGGCCCTGAAGGGAGTTCTGAAGGGAGCAAAACAGGATGCTGGTGGTTCAGATGCATATCCATCCGACTTCAGTGAGCCCAGATTCTTGCTTCTTGTCACACTTAAAAAAAAATGCTAAAATCATGAACTTGAGATGTCTGTTTTTGTGATTAGCAGTAATCTTTTCTTGTGAAATATTTTTTTTTTCAGCAGAAACTCCTAGATATCTCAGCTCCTCCTTTACCACTTGGAACAGTTCCTCAGAACTAGAGGCAGTCTCCCAGGCTATAGCCTCGGTAAGGTCCCCGAGTGAAACATAACTTGCAACTTTCAGGTTGTATGGGAATTTTTGGTTGGTTGGTTGGTTGGGTTTTTTTTTTTTTTCCCATTCGACAGCAGCTTTCCAGCTTACCACCCCCTGGAGCGGTGCCCTGCCTTTTCCCCACCGCGGACCCCTTTGATTACTCTCTGCCTCACCCCCAGCCCAGGTTCTGAAAGAGTCTACCCGCCAGACTTCGTTGATTAAGTATTCATTCATTGCTACATTTTTTATTAATCAAAGACATATATAATTGCCCATTGGAGCTTGTGATCAGCATGAGCTAGCCGGCTGAACCAGCTGCGCCGCTATCATTCCGGGCCAGAACCGTGAGCATGTGGCTTCCATAGAAAGCTGAATTTGGGGGAGGGTTTCCTGTATGTTCAGTGCAGTCTGTAGACCCCCACGCCCAGCCTCCTGGATTCCCCTTGGGGCCCAGGGACTCAAGCTATTCCAAGCCCACCATTCTTTTTAATGAGGGAGAAATAAGAGATTAAGACAGTGGAAAGCCAGAACCAGGGAGTATTTTCCAGCTCTCTACCAAAACACGATAAAGCCTAGCCACCCAAGAGATGGGCCCCCCAGGGTAGGGGCGCCCCTGGTCGTGTACCCAGGTACTCACTAGTTACACAGCCCAAAGCAAGCCCTCGACTGCCCCGCCTGTGAAATGAGGTCTGTAGTTTCCTAATTACATTAATTGTCACAAAAGAAATATGAGACGGGTTTATGAAGTCCCTGCGGGTATGATGGGCAGTGGCCAGACTGCCTGGGTTCTCCAGTGTCCAAGTAATGTAAATAGAGCCAGAGAAGCAGCCTTGGGAGGGGAACCTGCCCAAGGTCATTCTGTGTGTGCTCTTGACACTCACAGACTTCACATTGGCTAATGGGACGTTAGAGAAAACAAGTCTTTTCTTAAAAAATTGACTAATGGGGGGGGTGTGGGGGAGGAAATGTAGCAGCCCAGGACAAGCGGGACTTAAGATGTAAGATTTTCTATTTTACTGCAAGACACAAAGACACTGAAATTAATTCAAGCCCTGTCTCCTGCTCTGGCTTACATTTTGGTCTCCTGAGGACCTGGGGGGATCAGTGAGTGTGGAAGTAGCAAAGGAGAAACAAAAAGTCAAAGCAAAGAGAGGGAGATTTTCAGAATGTAAATCTGCAGGAGCCGGCAGAAAGGCCCAGCTCCCAGGCTGTCTTTGCATCCAGGACTGGAGCTCTGGACCCGGACAGGTCGTCAGGGCTCTATCCACAGTATCTCATTCTCTCTCTCTCTCTCTC